TGAGGTGACTAAAAAAGCCGAGAGCAATGGGCTAGTAACCCCTTCTCCTGTAGACATTACTAAAAAAAGAGAAGAAGAAAAACTTTATAAAACTGGGATGCTTGAATGTGTGTGGATGTAGTGCGGATGACAAGAAACAGATGATTGCTGATGTTATGAACGAAAAGAAGTTGGATGTCCTGGCCCTGAGCGAAACAAAGCTGAAGGGGGTAGGGGAGTTCGGTGGGGGGAAATAAATGGGATTAAATCTGGAGTATCTGAGAGAGGCAAAGGAAGGGGTAGCAGTAATGTTGGGAAAGGGTCAGTTATGGAAGGAGAAAAGAGAATATGAATGTGTAAATTCAAGAATTATGTGGATTAAAGTAAAGGTTGGATGCGAAAAGTGGGTCATAATAAAACGTGTATGCACCTGGAGAAGAGAGGAATGTAGAGGAGAGAGAGAGGGTTTTGGGAGATGTTAAGTGAATGTATAGGAGCCTTTTGAACCAAGTGAGAGAGTAATTGTGGTAGGGGACCCGAATGCTAAAGTAGGAGAAACTTTTAGAGAGGGTGTGGTAGGTAAGTTTGGGGTGCCAGGTGTAAATGATAATGGGAGCCCTTTGATTGAACTTTGTATAGAAAGGGGTTTAGTTATAGGTAATACATATTTTAAGAAAAAGAGGATAAATAAGTATACAAGATATGATGTAGGGCGAAATGACAGTAGTTTGTTGGATTATGTATTGGTAGATAAAAGACTGTTGAGTAGACTTCAGGATGTACATATTTATAGAGGGGCCACAGATATATCAGATCACTTTCTAGTTGTAGCTACACTGAGAGTAAAAGGTAGATGGGATACAAGGAGAATAGAAGCATCAGGGAAGAGAGAGGTGAAGGTTTATAAACTAAAGAGGAGGCAGTTAGGGTAAGATATAAACAGCTATTGGAGGATAGATGGGCTAATGAGGCATAGACAATGGGGTCAAAGAGGTATGGGGTAGGTTTAAAATGTAGTGTTAGAGTGTTCAGCAGAAGTTTGTGGTTACAGGAAAGTGGGGTGCGGGAGGGAAGAGGAGCGATTGGTGGGGAATGATGATGTAAAGAGAGTAGTAAGGGAGAAAAAGTTAGCATATGAGAAGTTTTTACAAAGTAGAAGTGATGCAAGGAGGGAAGGTATATGGAGAAAAAGAGAGAGGTTAAGAGAGTGGTGAAGCAATGTAAAAGAGAGCAAATGAGAGAGTGGGTGAGATGTTATCAACAAATTTTGTTGAAAATAAGAAAAAGTTTTGGAGTGAGATTAACAAGTTAAGGAAGCCTAGAGAACAAATGGATTTGTCAGTTAAAAATAGGAGAGGAGAGTTATTAAATGGAGAGTTAGAGGTATTGGGAAGATGGAGGGAATATTTTGAGGAATTGTTAAATGTTGATGAAGATAGGGAAGCTGTGATTTCGTGTATAGGGCAAGGAGGAATAACATCTTGTAGGAGTGAGGGAGAGCCAGTTGTGAGTGTGGGGGAAGTTCGTGAGGCAGTAGGTAAAATGAAAGGGGGTAAGGCAGCCGGGATTGATGGGATAAAGATAGAAATGTTAAAAGCAGGTGGGGATATAGTTTTGGAGTGGTTGGGAGATTCTGAAGAGAAGTTGCAGAGATTGGTGGATGAATTTGGTAGGGTATGCAAAAGAAGAAAATTAAAAGTGAATACAGGAAAGAGTAAGGTTATGAGGATAACAAAAAGATTAGGTGATGAAAGATTGGATATCAGATTGGAGGGAGAGAGTATGGAGGAGGTGAATGTATTCAGATATTTGGGAGTGGACGTGTCAGCGGATGGGTCTATGAAAGATGAGGTGAATCATAGAATTGATGAGGGGAAAAGGGTGAGTGGTGCACTTAGGAGTCTGTGGAGACAAAGAACTTTGTCCTTGGAGGCAAAGAGGGGAATGTATGAGAGTATAGTTTTACCAACGCTCTTATATGGGTGTGAAGCATGGGTGATGAATGTTGCAGCGAGGAGAAGGCTGGAGGCAGTGGAGATGTCATGTCTGAGGGCAATGTGTGGTGTGAATATAATGCAGAGAATTCGTAGTTTGGAAGTTAGGAGGAGGTGCGGGATTACCAAAACTGTTGTCCAGAGGGCTGAGGAAGGGTTGTTGAGGTGGTTCGGACATATAGAGAGAATTGAGCGAAACAGAATGACTTCAAGAGTGTATCAGTCTGTAGTGGAAGGAAGGCGGGGTAGGGGTCGGCCTAGGAAAGGTTGGAGGGAGGGGGTAAAGGAGGGTTTGTGTACGAGGGGCTTGGACTTCCAGCAGGCATGCGTGAGCGTGTTTGATAGGAGTGAATGGAGACAAATGGTTTTTAATACTTGACGTGCTGTTGGAGTGTGAGCAAAGTAACATTTATGAAGGGGTTCAGGGAAACCGGCAGGCCGGACTTGAGTCCTGGAGATGGGAAGTACAGTGCCTGCACTCTGAAGGAGGGGTGTTAATGTTGCAGTTTAAAAACTGTAGTGTAAAGCACCCTTCTGGCAAGACAGTGATGGAGTGAATGATGGTGAAAGTTTTTCTTTTTCGGGCCACCCTGCCTTGGTGGGAATCGGCCAGTGTGATAATAATAAAAAAAAAAGATAGTGCTGGGTTTTGAAATGAACTGAGGTAGAATAACAGTTTTTAACCTGTAAAATTGATTTGTGCCAAAAAAAAAAAAAAATCTTTTAACAATGTAGTCACACTGGCAGGAGATTCATCTGTAATAACTTGCATTTGTGGTCATAGTGGGGCCTGTGCTAACACCTCTATTGGATGCATCTTATTGTAGCTAGCTGACCCAGTGGCTTATGCACTGGCCAGGAGTTTTACAGCTCACTTGCCATGAGTTCAATCCCTGCCCGTGGTATGGTTTGCTTGCAATTGTGTCATTACAATTTCGTGAGTCAGCACCATAAGTTTGTAAAAGCTTCCTAAAAATGTACAGAGTGAGTTCATGCTTCCTTCCCATCTTCAGGCAAATTTAAAAGAGTTGCATGTGTTTTATATGGGTTTGCTTGATGTAAATTTCTTATTAAGGGACATCCTAGTTAAGTTGGTAATTTTGTGTGTGATGCGCATTTGCCGTCGTGATCTGTGCAGTTTCCAAAACGTATTAAACATTCTTACAGTACTGAATTCATGACATGATTGAGCTAACTTCTTTAACCCTTTAACTGTCCAAACGTAGATCTACATTCTCTTGCCCAGCACTCCAAATATTTTGAAAAAACAAAAAAAAAAATTTTTTTATATGAAGAGGACATTTTTTTACATAATGTAAAAATTTTTTTTTTAAGAGTCCGTACTTACGGAGATATAAGGCTGCAAAGTCGGCGCTTGTCGCTCACCTGATGGCAACATGAAGGGCTGCTGCTTGCAGAAGTGTTGTCAGTACACCTTTTTTCTCTTTTCTTTAATTTGTATAATTTTTATGTTCCGTTAATCACAATTTGTAGTAGTTCTTGTGATTTCATAGCTAATCTTTGTTCTGACACTAATATTTGGTATTGAAATAGTACTCAAATAGTCACAAACACAGTGACAGGTGAACATTTTTGCCTTCTTTAGTCACATACTATTGTCCAGAAACATATAAATAGTATTTATAGGTCCCAGCAATGTTTTAGATGCGTGAGAGTATATAATAAGAATAATAATAAGTTTCCTTGAAGCATGGTGTAAGATGAGTGTCACCACTGCTGACAGTGCACAGTGGTGACATTTGATGAGCATGCAATGCCTTGGATTTACAGTGGACCCTCACCTAACGATATTAATTGGTACCCAAGAACGAGTATCGTTAGGCGAGTTTTTAAGCGTTAGCCGAGCCAAAATGTTAACGTTAAATTGTATCGTTAGGCGAATTTAACGTTATGCGATGCGTTCATTAGGCGAGGGTCCACTGTTTTTGTTTTCACTGTTACACAAACATGTCTGTCTGTATCTGTCTGTCAAGCTCTCTGTCTGTCTAGCTCTCTCTGTCTCTGTCTCTGTTTATCTGTCTGTCTCTCTGTCTACTTGTCTCTCTAGCTGTCTCTCTGCTTGTCTCTCTCTCTTTCAGAGAGAGTCACTTGTGAACCAACAGGTATTCTCATACCTGTACAAGTGAAATTACGTATTACTTGCCAGTCATGCTTACTATGCATTATATCTACAAGCATAGTATAGCACCTTGTCTGGATTTTTTTGGGGTTATCCTAGGTAATTTACACTATGTATAATTGTATTTATATGTACCTGTGAACAGAGATAGAGACAAAGATCGACAGAGACAGGGATTGACATAGACAAAGATAGACAGAGACAGATATAGATACAAACAGACAGATGGAGATAGAGACAGCCAAAGTCAATCAGTTAGCCAGCCAGCCAGCCACCAGCCAGCCAGCCAGCCAGCCAGCCAGCCAGCCAGCCAGCCAGCCTGCCGAACATGTATTACACGTTCCAGAATTGTTTCTCTTTACTTAGGGCATAGGTTATAAGACATTCTGGCAAGATGACACTTCCAACGGTACCAAAATTGAAAGGGTGTTGTACAAATGTTCCACATGGGTTATTATCGAGGTTTTTTTATATTTCCTTGACCACTTGTGGCCATATCCACCTCAAAGCCACTAAACTCGGGGTCAGCATCACTTTTCTCTTAAAATTGGAGTGTTGATACTACATGACATCAGTGAATCCCAGGTGTTTGCCGTGCTGTTTGTCTAGTTGGCATTCAGTTGAACCGGTGCTCCCACAAGGTATTAAGTGGTCCCAGATTTTTTTAATACTGTGCACACCAAGTGTTAAGATCCATTTTATGCTGACCAGGCATCTCAGGCCAATCGTGCTAAATTTAGAGGCAGGAAAAATGAAACATAGATCTATGTTTGGAGCACTAGCAGTAAGAACGTAGATCGTTTGGACAGTTAAGGGGTTAAAGGAATGTTTCAGATAAACTATTTTTGTTTGGAATGAGGTATGGTTAAAATTTTTTTTTTTGTCAGAAAACTGGTCCAAACTGGAAGTTTTGAATATGTGTCGTAATCAGCTGACCGCTTTGCCCTTGCAAATATGTAAACTAGAGACTCTTCGTCGACTTATGGTAAATGAAAACCAGCTTGACTTTGAAGGCATTCCATCGGGTATTGGCAAAATTGTTGGTCTGGAAATGTTCGCAGCTGCTCACAACCGCTTGGAGATGATTCCTGAGGGGCTGTGCAGGTATGTACACCACTGTACTTCAGTTGTAATTTTATTTAATCAAAATATTGTTCGAGTTATATACTGCTCTTAACCCTTTGGGGGTTGACAGGTCCTCTCAGAGACTTGTTCTCGGGGTCAGCCAAATTTCAAAAAAAAAAAAAAATTTTTTTTCTTATGAAAAGATAGAGAAACTTTTCTCGATCATAATGACACCAAAAGTATGAAATTTGATGGAAAACTTAGGGAATTATGCTCTCACGAAGTTAGCGGTCTCGACGATGTTTATGCATTGGCGATTTTGCCCACTTTGAGCCCTATTTTCGGCCAATTCCAGTGTACTGGTTGACAAAAATCATATCTATTTCACTAGAACTCCATTTTTTCTATCGAACGAGTACAAGAAACCACCCATTTACCGATTTCAACTATCCACTAAAGTGGTCAGAATTTAGCAATTTTGCCAATTTCACACACATTTCAAAAGATGCCAACTTCTGAATAGGGTCGAGAATAAACAAGAAAGACATTCTTTGCACTAAAATAACAAGTTCTCTGTTCGTTAGTCACATCCCCAGACCCCTCTTATATTTCTTTGGCTTTCCACTTTGAATTTTTATTATTACAAAAAAAAAAAAATAAGATTTACTGTTATGCAGACTGCTGCATTAGTGTAGAAATGGTATAAATAATAACAGCGCACTTGTGAAAGAATATTGGACGTTTGGCATGATTTGTTTACTTTTGAACTTTGGTAAAAGTCGAACATTTCTGCTACTTTGAGCTCAATTTCAAGGTACTTTTCATTGTAAAACCAGTCAAAATCATCTCAATTTCTGTAATATGTCTTCCATTCTATAAAATGAGACCAAGAAAACTAGAATACAACAATAAATACCATACGAAAATATAGTGCAAAGTCGCTGTTTTAATCCAAAAACACGGTCAAAGTTTTTTTTTTTCCTCATTACGCACTGTATGCTGCAGGATTTTTTTTGTACTGTGCGCACTGACCACATAGACCCATTCATACACATGTAGGCCTACCAGCTTTCTCACTAGATTTGAGGGCATTAGAATTTAGGCGTACTAGTACGTCAAAAACCCTGGGTCGTTAGACGTACTAGTACGTCCGAAACCCCCAAAGGGTTAATGTAATACAGCCTCTCCTCACTTAGCGACGTACTCGTTTACCGACGCCTCGGACTTACGACAGGCTCTCTGGCCAGTATTCATACCTAAATAATGTACATGTATATTAGAACTGATTTCCTGTGTTCTGTTTATTTCAATATACAGTGGACCCCCGCATAACGATCACCTCCGAATGCGACCAATTATGTAAGTGTATTTATGTAAGTGCATTTGTACGTGTATGTTTGGGGGTCTGAAATGGACTAATCTACTTCACAATATTTCTTATGGGAACAAATTCGGTCAGTACTGGCACCTAAACATACTTCTGGAGAGAAAAAATATCGTTAACCGGGGGTCCACTGTACAGTATACTACTGTATAAACATTTAAAAATATACCAGAAATGTTATAAATGGTGCAAAGGTGACATTAAAACAATATCAAAGATGGTTGACACAAACTTACTGCCATTATAGTATGCTCCTCACTTAGTGATGAATTTGTTTAACGACGTGGTCTTGGGAATGGAACTCTGTCATTAAGTGAGGAGAGGCTATATAATAATGTACCCCTAGAGATCATAAATTAGTTTACAAATTTTGTTGAAAATAAGAAAAAGTTTTGGAGTGAGATTAACAATTAAAGAAAGCCTAGAGAACAAATGGTTTTGGGCAGTTAAAAATAGGAGAGGAGGGGTTATTAAATGGAGAGGTAAGGTATTGGGAAGAAAAAAAAGGGGAAAATTTTGGGGAGGAATTTTTTAAAATTTTGAGAAGATGGGAAGCTGTGATTTCGTGTATAGGGAAAGGGAAAGGAAAAACACTTGAAAGGAGTGAGGAAGACCAGTTGTGATGGGGGGGAAAAGTTCGTGGGGCCAGTGGGTAAAATAAAAGGGGGGAAAGGCACCGGGATTGAGGGGATAAAAAGATAAAAATGTTAAAAGCAGGGGGGGAAAATATTTTGGAGGGGTTTTGGGAATTTTATTTAAAAAAATTTATGGAAGAGGGTAAGGAAACCAAGGATTGGCAAGAGAAAGCATATTTTCCTTTGTAAAAAGGGAAAAGGGGGAAAAAAAGAGAGTGCAAAAATTATAGGGGGATAAGGGGCGTTGGGGTGTACCGGAAAAATGTAAGGTAGAGGTTTTAAATTTAAAGAATTAAGAGTAAGACGGGGAAAGGAAAACAGATGAACAAGGAGGCCTTTTGGAAAGGTAAAGGGGGGGTGTGGACCCGGTGTTTTTAGTGAAACCCAAAAAAGTAAAAATTTTTAGTAAGGCTAAAGAGGTTTTTTGGGGGATTTTTTTAAGGATTTTGGAAAAAAAAAGGCCCCCCCCCCAATTAAAAGGGGGAAAAAGGGGGGGGAAAGTGGGGAGAAGTTGCAAGTGTATGGTGTATGGTAGTTCCCGAAAGCAGTGAAGAGGTTTTTTTAAAAGAGGATAGTGAGGCTCAAGTTAAGAGTATTAGGAAAAAGGGAAAATTTTTTTTTCCCCGTAAAAGTGGCCTTAAAACAAGGGTTGTGAAATTTAACCGTGGTTTTTTAAATATAATTTTTAGATGGGGGTTTTTAAGAGAAGTAAATGCGAGGGCTTGGAAAAAGGCTGGAGTTTTAAAAGGATAAAGAATCACACAACAAAGTGGGAAATTGTCACAGCTGCTCTTTGCCGTACACTGTGCCTTGGGAGTTTTTTGAAGAGAAGTTGCAGAAAATTGGTGATGAATTTGGTGGGGGTTGTGAAAAAGAAAAAATTTTAAAAGGGTGAATACAGGAAAGAGAAAAGGAAATGGGGATAAAAAAAAAGATAGGTGATGAAAGTTTGGGAAAAACAAAATTGGAGGGAAAGTAGGAAAGGAGGAACGTATTCAGATTTTTGGGGAGGGACGTGTCACGGAGGGTTATGAAAGATGAGGTGAATCATAAATTTTGGGGGAAAAAAAAAAGAGTGAGGGGAAACTTAGTTTCGTGGAACAAAAAATTTTGCCCTTTGGGAGGAAAAGAGGTGAATGTATGAGAGTAAAATTTTTTCCCAAACCCCCTTTTAAAATGGGTGGAAGGGGGGTGATAAAATGTTGCAGCGGGAGAAAAAAAAGGGCAGGGGAAAGATTTTTTCATGCCGGGGGCAATGTTTTGGTGTGAATAAAATGCAGAGAATTCTTTTTTTTGGAAAGTTAGGAGGGGGTGGGGGAAAAAAACCAAAACTGTTGCCCCAGAGGGTGGGGAAGGGTTGTTGAGGTGGCCCGGACATGTAAGAGAAGGAAACGAAAAAAGAATGACTTCAAGGTGTTTTCAGCCCGGGATGGAAGGAAGGCGGGGTAGGGGTCGGCCTAGAAGGGGTTTGGGGGGAGGGGGAAAAGGGGGTTTTGTGCAAAGGGGGTTGGACTTCCAGCACATGCGTGAGCGTGTTTGATTAAGGGGTTTAAAAAGGGGGCAAATGGTTTTTTAAAAAACTTTACGTCTGTTTGGGGTGGGGAGCAAAGTAAAAATTTTTGAAGGGATTTTAGGGGAAAACCGGGGGAGGCCGGACTTTTTGCCCTGGGGATGGGAAGTACAGTGCCTGCCCCCCTGAAGGAGGGGGGGTTAATGTTGCAGTTTAAAAACTGTAGTGTAAAGTCACCCCTTCTGGCAAGACAGTGATGAGTGAATGATGGTGAAAGTTTTTTTCTTTTCGGGCCACCCTGTCTGCCTTGTGGAATCGCCGTGTGATAATAAAAAAAAAAAATAAATTTAATCTTGTTGGTTAATAAATTTAATCATTGGCACAACCTTGGATAAGCTTAGGGAAATAAAGCTCCCATTGCAGATGCTTTTATTTTTTCAATTAATGTATTTTCTGGCATGTAGCCACATGAGTGGTGTAATACATGTAAAACGTTTCCAAACCCCCATCCTTTAAAGTGCAGGCATTGTACTTCTTCCCAGTTCCGGGGAACTCAAGTCCGGCTATATAAAAATAACCGGTTTCCATGAATTATTTATTTTTTATTAACACACTGGCCGATTCCCACCAGTAGATTCACTGACACAAGAGGAGATATAAAAAAGACCTGGAAAACACTCTCTCAGATTCTAGGGACCAAAAACTGAAAAACCAAGAAATTGCCCTAAACTAAAAACTAATAAACACCACTGCATCCCACTGACACAGCTAACAAGATAAACGACTTCTTCTCAACCATAGGTTCTAATCTCGCCAATAAAATCCCACACACCAATGCCCATGCCGGGGACTACCTAGATGGGAATTTCCCAAATTCCTTGCTATCTTGCTCAAACTGAGCCCATGGAAGGTCACCGAGATTATAAAGTCATTAAAACACTCAGGAATCCTGTCCTCAAGTCCACCAATTATTGTCAAGAAGCGGCCCATGTTCCACTCGCATGCTCTCATTACTTTTTTAACAAGTCACTAGAAACTAGCACCTTCCCTAAACTACTCAAGACGGCAAGGTTACACCAATACATAAAGGTGGTGACCCTACAGATTTAAACACTATAGGCCAATATCAAACTTACCATTGCTATCCAAAATCTTTGAGAAACTCTGCACAGGAGACTATATTCATTTATAACGGCACAAAACATACTCAACCCCTGCCAATTTGGATTCAGGAAAAATAAAAGCACTAACGATGCAATCATAAAAATGCTAGATCTGCTTTACACAGCATTGGAAAATAAGGAATATCCACTAGGAATTTTTATTGACCTAAGAAAAGCTTTGACACAGTAGACCACGGCATCCTACTCCACAAACTTGACCTTTATGGTATAAAGAGCCATGCGCTTGCATATTTCAAATCTTACCTTACAAAATAGGTATCAGTATGTCACCATTAAAGACACAGCATCACAACACAGCCACTTGATACTGGAGTTCCGCAGGAAGTGTCCTTGGTCCCCTGCTCTTCCTCATTACATCAATGATCTTCCAAACGTATCTCAACACCTGAACCCCATTCTCTTTGCTGACGACACGACTTATGTCATCTCTCACCC